GTATACTCGTAGGAAAGAAAAGGCTATTGTAATGTAAATTGAATACACTGGCATCACCGAAGAACACAACAAATAGGGCGTACATCTGTAACAAGCTCATGTTTGAGTAGACACCTGAAAGGTGCCTATTAAATATGCGCGCATGTGTACAACGTTTAGCAAATGGGAATGTCCCTTAACATAATGCACAGCAGTCAACATGTTAAACCAGAGATACAAATCTTACAGTCTGGCTGGCAAACAGTTTATGTACACGATGGAAAATCCTTTTTTTTAACAAAGGAAGCTGATTTTAGGGAACAAATCCAACATATTTCCAAGTAATCTTTCCACTTCTTTCTAAACAATGTGATTTTTCAATTTTATTCATTAAAAATGTTAACATATTTACCGTTTCCTCCCCACATATATAAGCCCCTGCCCCACGATGCATGAAGACATCGAAGTCATAGCCTGACCCACAGGCATTCTTGCCTATAAGTCCCGCTTCGTAGGCCTGCAAATAAACAGCACATCCGAGAGCACTGAGCATTTGGAAACAAGTGAAGGAACAGTTATCAACTGAAAAATACAGGACAAGGTGCTATCCACCCTGAGTTGAAGTGCGCCCTCACTGGCGAAAGAAAGACAGATGGTACAACGTTTTCAAACCGGGTTCTTGCACACGTTCAGCGTGCACTCAAAGACCATACAGAGTATATGCATTGTGCGTACGTAGAGTGCTCTGCGTCAAATGCTCTTAAACTTGCATGCCTATGCCGTGAGTTGGTACCAAAGGAGTGTCAATTTCATTGAAAAACACGCCCTCTTTTGTCCCCACGCAGAGTGGATGATAACATGTGATCCTGTTCTGCAGGTGCTGCACTCTCTGGTTCGGTAGATGGAACTGAATCCCTAAACCCTTGAGGGTATTTCTGCTCCAAACTCTGCCAGAAGCATCAGTCTGCATCAGGTGTCAAAGCGGCTTGAGCAAGACACTTTGTCACAACTAGCTCCTAATCTAGGAGTCCAGAACAGGTGTGGTTATTGTGTTTTTTCATTTGCATCCTTATGGCAAAAGGGAGCTGGAAGTTTCTGGACGCTTCACAGCCTGATGAGCAGGGGTAATAATAATGAACCGCACATTGGTCTTCTGAAACATCGTCTACTAATATTCATCAATGCTACTGCTGTTAAGCTATCAGTGCACTCATCCATTTAACTAAAGCTTCAAGCGGTGTGCAACTGTTTATCTCAGCACCTACCTCCTTGATTGCTATTTGCATATTGGATGCCTCAGTGTAGAATTCACCACGGATGTAGATGTATGCTAGAAATAATAAAACATAACAATTCAGACACTAAGCCACTGGCGAGTCAAATTTGAATAAAATTTGGTACCCTGTGTTATCTGAGTGCATAGAAACGTAACAACTTGAATTCCCCAGACTAAAAACACTGTTGCTATACATCGTGATTTGGGGCAAGCTCTTGTATAGCGACTGCCATCCCTGGAATGGACTGGTGCCTGTATGCCTTCCTTATCCATTGACAACAGTGGATTGTTGCAAGGCGTCTCTTATGTAACTAAGCAAAAGCTTGCCCCGAATCACAGTGGCTGTAGTATGGAGAATTCTATTTGTTATGTTCACATGAATTTAAAGAACTCAGTATACCAGATTTTATTCAAATTTAACTCGCAAATGGCTTATTTCACAGATGTGACAAGTGGTACAGGCACTTTTTCTTTTTTATTTTGTAAATAAATCTGTGATAGATGTAGTTTTCTCTTTTTTTTAGAAATCTGTGATAGATATAGTTTTTTTCTCAGTTAGATTCCAATTTTTTCAGGAGACAAAGTATAACGTTCATGTGAATGTATTCTTACATTACAAATTTTACGCACAAATTTGCTTTATTTCCCTATTTCCATTGTAAGTATTACAAAAGGGGAGGGACCAATGAACTGTAGTGGCGTGACCCACATATTCATCACCAAGTGACTAGGAATCTGGAAAATTACAGACAGGGGCTTGCATTTCCAAGAAGCCAGTGGGGCTGTGGTCTACCTACCTGCCCTGGCTCCCATGGACCTGCCAGCTACCAGGCACCCCTCCACCAGCTTGTGGGGGTCATGCCTCATAATCTCCCTGTCTTTGCACGTGCCTGGCTCTCCCTCATCTGCATTGACCACCAAGTACTTGGGCCTGTGGGCAGCATTGAAAAGAAAGGACTTGGAGAGGGAATACTGGAGTAGTAGACACATGGCGACTCTATGAGCTTAAATTAAAAATGGTCAATGACATCGTGAATACCAGTGGCATCGTGAATACCAGTGACATCATGAATATCAGTGACATCGTGAATACCAGTGACATTGTGAGTACCAGTGACATCATGAGTACCAAGGATATTGTGAATACCAGTGACATTGTGAATACCAGTGACATCGTGAGTACCAGTGACATGGTGAGTACCGAGGATATCGTAAATACCAGTGACATCATGAATACCAATGACATCATGAATACCAGTGACATCATGAATACCAGTGACATCATAAATACCAGTGACATCGTGAATGCCAAGGATATCGTGAATACTGTCAAGTTAACAACGTTCCTGACAAATGGGGCATAAAGCTACCATAAACAAGAGGCTATCATTAGAGGCAACCACGTTTGTAACCCAGTTGTAAGATAGCGAAAGCTATCCACAATAGATCAGTAATTAACTGATTCTATGGAGTCCCCATTTGCAAATCATACCGCAATGTTCATTGTCAAGGTGAATCAATCTTTGTCTGCTACAAAAAGAATACCAAATGATACAGTACGGCAGGGATGCAAGAAGTGCAGCACTGATACGAAAAAAAACCCCCAAAAAACAGTGTGCTGTAAGTTTCTGCGACATCTGGGCCACTGATTTCTTGACGAATACAGTGTACAGTTTAGCTTGACGAAGACAGTGTTACAGTTTAGCAAAGCTTGATGTGTTTGGCATTTGAGCTCACCTGCCATCCGACGGTTTGTTCATGAACCCCCACTTCATTCCGGTTGGAAAGCCCGCACCGCCGCGCCCCCTCAGCCCTGAATCACGGATCTCCTTCAGGATCCAGTCGTGCCCTTTCAGAAGTATCTCCTTGGTCTTGTACCAGTCGCCCTATTTGCAACAAAATAGGGGTAACAACTTATCTTCAGTGAGAGTACCGCCAAATTCCTTTAAAGCCTCTCACACATGCCAATTGATAGTGCTGTATTTTTTCTGCATGGGCAAATACGGGTTCTTTCCATGGGCCACACAAAAGCAGTTTGTTTACAGTTAACCGCCTCAACCAGGAAAATCCCGCAGCACTTCATCTATTCATTCAAAAGAAAATAACACAAATTAAAAATCATGGTGCCAACCCCTGAGCCCAATTGCTGTGGCCATCATGTTTCTTTTAAGCTAGTCAGCTTGAAAAAGGTGGGTTGTTCTTTCCACTCAATCAGGGTCTGTATTTTGCTTCATGGAAAGTGTGGCAATGAAAATTGCGCGTTTGTATTATCAACTGCACTTAACAAACGACAAACGGTGAATTGCAGAATCTTACCCTTGCCAAGGCACCTTTCAACCTCCAGTCATGGCGTCCATACAGATTGGTGAAAATACGATCTTGATCCTTCAATGGGCCATACTTCTAAAAAAAAAAGGGAAAAAGAAATGCGAACAATTGAGAGCATATCTCTTCTCCGGCACAATTTAATGGTTTCAAGAGATTTACATGTACATGTATACAGGTATATGTACTGTACACTTCACATGTATTATGTAAAGGATGGTTTATACTTAGCAGGAAGGTGAATGTAAGCGTTAAATTGTGATGTCACTTCAAATATTCATGCTGTGAATCCATACAAGTGGGACACACTTCAACTCAGGTCCTACAGCCCAGGAGGAAATTCTTTCCAGACAAAGCAAAAGTGACCGTTATTTAAACAAACTTACTTTGATGGGAGCATCTGTGGAGTTTTGCCTGGATGCTACACTGAGGCAACATGTGGATGGACTCGGCAAGCGGCCTGCAGAACAGAAACAGAACACAATACAATGATCAATTCAGCATCGGCTTACTGCATGCTAGCCCTACATGTGTGACAAGTCCTATATCCTTGGCTTAGAAAATACCAGTACACCTTGGCGTAGATCCTACTGCTTACCAAAATTTCCTCGCAACAGCACTGATAGCTTAGACGAAAGTGCCATTTCTGGAGCTCAGTTCTTCCTCGATCCACCAAGCTTTGAAGAATTCTTTGGCTAAATGTTGATTGATTTCTGGGTAGCCTTACGCTGACGTTTACATAACAATTTCGGCACTTACACAAGTTGGAAAATCTATGGCGGCCAGCTGCGCACTGCTCCACAACACATTTTCAGCATCATAAAAACGCACAAACCAGGGAACCAGCGAGATTAAGACCGGTCGCCCCAAAGTGATTTCAACTCTTGGCGGCGCTATGAAACCAGTGGACTAGAAAGCTATAGGTTTTTTTTTACCAGTAACGAATAATGATTTTCATTTGGTCCTTGAATTTAAGAATAAATGATTTAGAATAATCCAAAAACTTTAATGAATAAGGAAATCAGCTGCATAAAGAAAAATCTGATTAAATTTAAATACGAAGAAAATAATTTTTCTGGATTTTCCCGCAGATGTCATTATGAAAAACTTCGTGGCAGTTTCCAAAACGGTCCGTCCTAGGAAATTGTCAGTCTGATAAGCACAAAAATGGCCTGCAATGAAAACTGCCCACGTAAGCAGGGTTTTGATTGTGATTATATGTTGATAAGTATTGCTTATTTCGACCCTGTTACAGTTAAATTTTATGAGGCGAATCTCCAAAGGGGGGATATCAGTTGAAAAAGAATCAAGTCTTTTCTGGGCAATCATTTAAGTGAGGCATGTTTTTTAAGTTTGCAAAACGATGACACATAAATCAATGTTGTCACGAATTTGGGACTTCTGGCGTATACGCGTCCAACTCGCCGCGGTATTTCGTTCACAAAAACCTCCAACCCGTGGGCCTATTTTGCATAGAGGCGGGCGGCTACATTGAGAGCTGCGCGCATAGTTTTACTCCTATTTGTGAGTACGTAGATTTCGGCGAAGGGCGAATAAAAAATTCGCGTGGCTGTCTAACAATCAGTGTCAAATTGAAGAGAAAGGTGCACTTCTGGCCGTAATCTTGAATTTCCAAAGAAAAGCGGGGCCAACCTCTCCCTCGGAGTCATTAGGCGGCGCTGTTTCTATCCGATTTTGCACTGCTTTCTATGCGCGCGTATTTGTAGTCCTACTTGTTTCCTATGTGAGTAGAAGTGACATGGATAATAATCTTCATTCCCACAATATTCCTCACAAAATACAACGATCAAAAGGACAAAATACTCTTTGTGATCGCTCACACTCCGAGTTGAAACTACTGTTCATCTGAGCAATCGATGAAAAAGTATCTTTTCCCTCAGATTTGGGAAAGTTAGGAAACGACGATATGCCAGCGTTTGATTGATGTTCGTTGTCAATTAAAAGATCTCTCGCGTGTGAAACTCCCATACAAAAAGCCCTTATTACGCGTTTCCATTGTGGCGGTGTAGTGTCCTCGTTTGTCTCCTCGTTCCATGACATTTGTGTAGGAAGTGTTGTGGCAGTTGTTCGTAAGATCTAACTCATAAATGAGGTATTCTGTTGGGTGCAGTCGTACAGGGTGGGGGATATCTGATAAGAAGCCCCCCTATCATGTTTCTGGAGTCGCAGCGTGGCGTCCACGATTGTCCCCGTATTCAATGACATTGTGCAGTATAGAAAGAAGTGTTTTGAGGAGGTCTGTGTATGGTAGAATCACGTAAATGAGGCACTGTAAGCCCAGTCCCCGTACAACGTTAAAAGTAGTTGGAGCTACCAGATAAAAAACCCGTATAACGTGTTTCTTCCTGACCAGTGTCCGCGTTTGTCTCCGCATTCAATCACGCTATGTGTGTTTGAAGTTGCAGCCTAGCCGTGTACATGATTCTATTTTTCCGGAGTCGTCGTAGGTCTGAGAAACACGCTACAAACACGTACGTGACCCGCTAGAGGAAACGAAGAATGTCGCCCTATTGTACACGAACGCAACATATAACTTTTCCATTGAAATACCGCACAGTCCAAGTTTACCACGCCCGGTCGCTGGAACTTCCACTAAAGGGAATTTTGCTTGAGCTGTGGAGTATCGTATTTTGTGCGCAGTATTGTTCGTAACATAGACAGACATAACCGTGTTTCTTGTTACAGGAGTGTCCGTTTTGGGGGACAGCTTTCCCTCATAGAAATTGTATGTAAAATCTGCGGTTGAACAGGATTTTCCCGTAAAACGGCAGCTGAGTGAGAAACACTGTTTCGTAGGAAATAGTATTTCGCTACCTACTGACTGTGAAAAAATATCTGCTTGCTATATATAGCAGCATTTAAAGTCAAACTCCATTATAAAAAAACACCGTGTTAATTAATTAAAAGCATTCTGCTTATTAACAAAGAAAATATCGATAGTTCTTCATTGTTTTCATTCCCTAATATAATGAGGTTTCTGCAAGTCTGAATAAAGAGAATCGTGGTTGTCAGCACTATTTTATTAATTTGCATTCATCATACTCCATGTAATTTAATCTATCGCATGGAGTGGTGGCAGACTATATGAGGTTCAAAACCCCGCTTGCAGTTTTTTAATGTGGCAAACATTAAGATATATTAGTTTATCACAAATTTGAAATTATTCTTCAACCAAAACTGGCGTGAACTTTTATGAACTTTTTATTTCAGTGCTGTTATTTTCACGCTCCGGTTCCCAAACTGAAAAAAAGTTTTTACATTACTTTCAATTCAAGATGACCGACACATTAATACAGTCCGTGTGTACCTAAACACAATTTGCAGCAATTAAGTGCCGTTTTCTCATCAGATTGAACTCACCCCATTTGGGAAGTTGTGTCTGCCCCAACACGCGTCTCGTATGTTTTTCAGAGGGAAATTATTAACTGTGCATGTCCCGATTTAGGGTCATTTGCATGCATTAAATGAGGGCCATGGGAATTCGTGCCAGGCAAACAGCTGCTTCATTTCATGAAATTTACGTCTTCTTGAAATTCACGGTATGTACTGTACACCGGCTCCGTCGAAAATTTCTATGGGCATGTACGCCGCGCTACGCGTGTAACATACTGCAGTGTAGCGAGCACGGTACGTGGCCAGGTGGCTGGATCGGTTTTGTGCATACGTAGATCGCGCTACGCAGAAGTATCAAATATAACTCACGACACAAAAAATCTAGCGGCACAGAACTGATTATATCGTGTAGTTACGATTCTGGCCTGTCGTCTGCAGTGTCTCATTGTTCTGGGAAAACTTCTAAAACTGAGAAATTTAGTGAAAAAAAAGACCAAGAGATCTATTGAAAATGGAAATACATGTAATTTATTATCTTAGCAACAACCACTTTGAGGCTAAATTTTAATTATGTAGCGTTTCTTTTCATGATTTTGTAGTGTTTTATTCGGTTTATGCCTTGTGGAGCACGTACAAAGAGTTTCAATGTGATCGTTTGTTAACTTTGCGCAAACGAAGTCTTCCAAACCAGAAGGCAGGCTCAAGAGGACTGGCGGGTTGCTAAGGGCATTTCCTTTGGATTCACGAGGGTCCGGTCAAGTAACCGCCGCGCACGGTCGAAGTCGTTAATTTCCACACGTTGAATTGGGGTGAAACATACGTGAACACACACAATAGGAAGTATGGCATCGGCCAAAGGTATTCCCTGTAAAACATTGATACCATGCACGATATGGGGCCAATGGGTCCCCCCCCCCCACATGTCCAATCCCTATACATACTCTAGAGTATTATTACCTAACACATCCCCCCTAAAAGTCTGTAAAAAGTTCCTGAGATTCGATTTCGATCAAACAATGACCAACACAAGGTCGTGGGAGGGGAGTTTCTCTCCGCCCTATAGTATTGCATCATATGAAAACGTCGATTCTGCTGTATCAAACCGAACATATTTCGTACACGCAGAAAGCTTTACAAAAGGCCCCAAAACCGCGTTTCTCGCGTGGCGGTGTGGTTTCGGCAGTTGTCTCCATGTTGAATGACATTTGCGTCGTGAGGGTTATTACCGTTTGTGAGTGGTTCAACCACACAAATGGGTCATTCTATAACTCGATACGTCCAACGTTGTGACATCTGTGAGATGCCCGATAAAAAGCCCTCTCAGCCCGTTTCGGGGTCCGCGTTTGTCTCCGCATTTGATGCCATTAATTTTTTGTACAGTAAAGTGTTTTTCCGATATGTCGAAGAGGGATATAAATGGATACAGTATTGCTGAGCAGGGTTGGCTGATTTGAATCGTCGATTTAAATCAAACAAATCCGATTTAACTTTAAAAATCCGCGGTTGTTTGATTAAAAAAGAAATTAAAAAAATGGCCAACCCTGTTGCTGAGGCTAACTGTGAGCTTTGAAGCATATTGATCCACAAGGTCTACGTCGAGACTTCTCTAGCCTGTTGTTGTATGGCTTTGTGTTATATATTTAATAAGATTCTGTACCCCCGATACCCCTGCTCATCGATTAAGGCTTGAAAAAAAAAACCTTGTTGTGCAGTCATTGGCGCTTAGCACAGGTATTAAAATGTGATCATTATGCCCCGCCGACGAAGTTGAGAGGGCATGATAACTGTTTCCGCCAAATCCCTCTGTGGGAATGTGTGTGTGTGTGGGGGGGGGGCACTGTGGCTTGAACAATCCATACAATGGAAAAAGCAATCCTTTGATATGCTTGTATAAAACATTAGGGGTGCATTCATTCCCCTAAATGGATAGATTTCTGCGCGCGAGTTCATTAATATCTTGTGATCCCACGAGGTTTTTTACAATAGGAGGTGCCATCAACAGGAGCGATCATAGAGATATTTTCATTAATCGCGAATTTGGGACTTTTGGTGTCCAAATCGCCGTATTTCATTCACAAAATCCTCCAACCCGTGGGCCTATTTTGCGCAGAGGCGTACGGCTACATTGAGAGCTGAGCGCATGCGAGTGAAAAGCCGTGTCTAACAGACTTCTGTGTTTTAGGCACATCCAGGACCCTTATTTTGGAAAACTATAGTCCTAATTCGATAAAGCCAAGAAAAATATAACCGCTATGACAAATTGTTTTATCTTTATGGTTGACTGAACTTTCTGTAGTATGATGACGTAACCTGAACCAAAATCATGAAAATCTATTGACGTTAACTTCCGAAATTGTCCAAAAAACAACACAAACACGCTTGAGGGTGATATTTCATCACTTATCCTTCCGCTTTAAACCATTACGGTGATATTATCGACCCTCGATGAAACGATATAG